ACCCACCAGCCACTCCTCAAAAGGAAGACTGGGCAATCTACTTCTGTAGTGATATCACCTCAGAAACCCAAGGAGGGGTCGCTATGGGTTGGATCTGACTCAACGGCAATGAGTTTGGTGTTTTTTTTTGTATATATTAACATATACTGTATTTGATTATTAGTTGTTTTTGTTGTTAGGTGCCATTGAGTTCATTCTGATTCACAGCAACTGTACGGAAAACAAAATGAAACACTGCCTGGTTCTGCACCATCCTTACAACTGCTGCTGTGCTTGAACCTACACTTGCAGCCACTGTGTCAGTCCATCTCATTGAGGGTCTTCTCCTTTTTCTCTAACCCTCTTCTTTACCAAGCATGATGTGTTTCTCCAGGGACTGGTCCCTTCTGACAACAGGACCAAAGTACAAGAGATGAAGTCTGGCCATTCTTGCTTCTGAGGAGCATTCTGGCTGTACCACTTCCAAAACAGATTTGTTCTTCTAGCTGTCCATGGTTACATTCAATATTCTTTGCCGATACCACAACTCATGATGATTACAAGCAAGCTACATGTGAGTTCCCAAATGATCCAGCAATTCCACTGCCAGTCATACACTCAAGAATTCTAAAAACATTATGTCTACACAAGAACTCATACAGATGTTTACAGAACCATTACTGATAAAAGCTGAAAAAGAAGAAACAGCCCAAGTGTCTACCAACTGATAAATAGATAAACAAAATGTGATGTACCCATAGAACAGCACTGGTGAAAAACGAGGCTCCAGTAACTGATGTAATACCCATTGAGATGTTTCAACAAACAGATGCAACACTGCAAGTGTTCACTCATCTGTCCTAAGAAATTTAGAAGACAGCTACCTGGAAAACCAACTGGAAGAGATCCAAAGAAAGGTGATCCAAAAGATCGTGGAAACTATCGAACAATATCATTAATATCGCATGCAAGTAAAATTTTGCTGAAGATAATTAAAAAATGGTTGCAGCAGAACATCAACAGGGAACTTCCAGGAATTAAAACTGGATTCATTAGAGGATATGGAATGAGGTACATGATTACTGATGTCAGATGGATCATGACTGAAAGGAGAGAATACCAGAAAGATGTTTACCTGTGTTTTATTGACAATGTAAATGCATTGGAATGTGTGGATCATTACAAATTATGGATAATATTCTGAAGAATGGGAATTCCAGAACATTCAACTGTGCTCATGGACCTGTACAGAGACCAACAGAAAGTCATTCAAACAGAACAAGGGGATATTATGTGGTTTAAAATCAAGAAATGTGTGCATCAGGATTGTATCCTTTCACCATACTTACTCAATCTGTATGCAGAGCAAGTAATCCAGGGAGCTGGACTATATGAAGAAGAACATGACATCGGGATTGGAGAAGACTCATTAACAAACTATGCTATACAGATGATACAGCCTCACTTGCTGAAAGTAAAGAGGATTTGAAGCACTTACTGATGAAGATCAAGGACTACAGCCTTCAGAAGTATGGATTACATCTCAACATAAAGAAAACAAAAATCCTTACAACTGGATCAGTAAACAACTGATAAACGGAGAAAATGCTGAAGCTGTCAAGGAATTCCTTTTACTTGGCTCCACAATCAATGCCCCCAGAATCAGCAGCTGAGAAATCAAAAGACATACTGCACTGGGCAAATCTGCTGCAAGAGACCTCTTTCGCATGTTAAAAAGGAATGTCATCACTTGGAAGACTACAGTGCATCTGACCAAAACCCACTGCTATTGAGCTGCTTCTGAGTCACAGCCACCCCCAGTGGGTTCCCAAGGCTGTGTATCTTTATGGAAGTAGACTGCATCATCTTCCTCCCACAGAGCAGCTGGTGGGTTTGAACTGCTGACCTGGTTAGGAGCCAAAACGTCTTACCCACTATGGCACCAGAGGCTCCTAGCACCTGACCAAAGCCACAGTATTTTCAATAGCTTCATATGCAAGTGAAACCTGGACAATGAATAAGGAAGACCGTAGAAGACCAGATGCATGTGAATTACGGTGCTGGTGAAGAATACTGAATACAACAGGTACCGACAGAGGAACAAAGAAGTCTGTCTCGGAAAGTATAGCTGGGATGCCTCTCAGAAGGAAGGACGGTGAGACTTCGTGTCTCTGGTCATGTTCCCAGGGGCACCAGGCCCTGGAGAGGTTACCATGTTTGGTGATGGGGAGGGTCAGCAAAAAAGGGGAAGACCCGCAGCCAGACGGATGGACACAGTGACCGAAACAGCAACGATGATGAGGCTGAGGCAGGACCAGGCGCTGTTTCGTTTTGTTGCACAGAGTGTCACGAGAGTCACACTGACTCGCTGGCACCTAGCAAGTAGCATGGCTGGTAGAGGAGAGGGGCAATGAAAAAGAGGCAGGCCCTCAATGAGACAGACTGAGCTGGGACCAACTGATGGCACCTGACAACAACGTGGCTGGATGCCGGGGGAAAATGAGGCGTGACTGCTAAGGCATCAGGTTTCTTCTGGTTAATGACAATGTCCTGGAATGAGGTGGTGATGGCTCACTAAAAAACTGAATGGTAACCTTTAAAAGGATGAATTTTATGATATGTGAATTACATCTTAATAAAAAAGAACTTGTATGAAAAATCTTAAAAAAGCAACTTATAAACCCTGTGTAAAATAAAAACGTGTACGTAGAAGACCAGTAATGTGTGAGAGACATTAAAAAATGGTAATAGTGGCCGAATTAGAGGTGAAAAAGCTTTCTATTTTTCAGCACGTTCAGAATTGTTTTCCTGGTGGAAAACGAATTACACTGATTTAGAGAAATGAAGGCACCATCCTTATTTGGGGAGAAAATCAGAAAGCACATACCTGGGCTGGAGTGTTTGTAGTCACAGGAGATGGCGATTCACTAACTTTCGGCTCGCTCGGGGACGCGGCTGAGCCATGTGACTCCTGGCTGGCTGGCTGGTCTGGAGACAGAGCGTCACTGCTATCTTCATCAAATGAGAAGTCACCCTGAGTCGGCGGATAGTCCTCTTTTCCAACGCCTGTGGAAGAAATGACTCCTCATCTGTGTTGGCCTGGGCACACACCAAGCACAAGATGAATGGCAAACACAATGCCTTCTCTGAGAACTTATGAAGCTGGTTTTAAAAAACCCAACGTGCCACTGAACATTATGTACCTGTCAATGGAAAAACACACTACCGCTAAGATGTATTCTTTAAAAATAACAAAAGATTAAACTTGAATTAGCTGAAGCCTCTGGATCCAACTACGAGTCATAGAAGTGCCAGCAGACAGAGGGACATTTCAATGACAAACAAGGATCCAAATGCCACCAGTAAAATCCAGAACGTGGAAACGCCAGAGGACAAAAGAAATCTGTTTCGTCAACAAACAAACAGCAAGGAGTAGTAAGACTCAAGAGACGTATCAATCAAAGATAGTATGTGGGCCATGTTTGGATCCTGATTCAGAGCCCAACTGTTAAAAAGCATTTTGAGGCAATCAGGAAACTGGACCATGATGGGTTACCCTCTGTCTGTGTGTCTGTGTTTAAAGTATTTTTTATGGCTGGGTCATGAGGTATCTGTTGCTAAATTTCCACCTCAGGGACCAGCCGAGCCATAATGACATGTTACCTTATGAAGCCCATCTCTTTGGGACTGAATGGAATCAATACCGAATACAAATCATCTAAGATTTAAATTCAGGTGAATGCAAAATATCAAGTTCCCATGAGTAACAAAAACTATTAGTTTTCAAATTAGGATAATAAGTTTTCAAAATTGCTTGCTAAATAAATAGCAATATCCTTGGCACATTTTTTTTCTTGCTAAAGTTTATACCAGGAAAAAAAAAAGAGATCAGGAAGAGAAACAGACATCAGAGATAAAGTCTGATAAGACCATGACAAAGTGGACAGTATTACCACTCCCAGTGCCACTCATCTGCTGTTCACCTTCCTGAACTAACACTGAGCATGCCACGTTTCATTATCTTTCCTAAAAGTAGACAGAAACAAAGCAACGAAAAGTTTATGAAAATATTAAACAAAAACTAAGCAGTACAGTAACTTAGAAAATATAATACTGAAATCACAGCATAAGACTTAAGCTTCAAATACAACTAGGGGCATCTCTGTGTTAATGAAGATAACCTAGGCTAAGCTTGCAACATGTAATGGCCTAGCAACAATAACAATAGTAACAGTGAGAACTGTTGCCAACGTTCATCAGTTTCTGATTAACCCAGAAAAGAATATTCATGATCAATGCTCACTTTACATTTCATTAATTTGTGTTGTCTAAATTTCCCAAGTCCAACTTCTCTTTCTCACAGAAAACAGTAAATATTTAGAGTCTTGCCTATAATTGCTTCCTTCACGCTGGAGTCTACAGGAAGGATGTTCTTCTCCACCAGCTCCATGGGACCAGGTCTCTGAGCAATCTTTTCGTTCAGATCATCGGCCAGTCGCGCTCTTTTCAACTTCATCTGAGTAGCCTGCAAGGATGGCTCTGCAAATGTTTCTACAAAAGGAAACAGAATGTTAACCATTACTTGAGTTACTATTTCTATTCCTTATTGTTATCTCAGGCCAAATAATTTAAGATATTCATGTATTCTCAACATATTTATGGAAGGACAAAATGACTATTCAGGAATGCCCCAGACGCATTTGTATCTTTAGTCATGGAGAAGTTGTACTGCCTGTTTAATGTGGAAACCCACAGATTTAATTATCCAGAAGTTAGGCCCAAACAGGGTACTGCTGTTGTTCACTTATGGTGGAAGTCAAAGGTGTTGGGGATATGACTGATGAACACGACAGATGGGATGCCTGGTTCTAGGCGTGTACAGCTTTCGATTTGGCTTCACGGGAAAGTCAGTTCCCAGGAGGGAGACACTGTACCACAGCTACAAGCTTCTCTGCAAGGTCAATGGGAAGAGCTTTAACTTCCATTCTTGGCTTGAGCCCTATGCATTTCACAACTGATCACCATAACTAAGTATTTGGATTTATTTCTGAATAAATCAACCTGTGTCTGTTAGGAACATTCAATTACAGAGTGCTGGTCACAGAGTAGCATTAAGTCATTTGCTTACCACTACTCAAGAAAATCAACAAAGTAGGAGGCCTCGCAACACTCCCTGATCTCCAAACCTTCTGTACAGCCATAGCAGTCAAAACAGCCTGGGACTGGTACAATGACAGGCACATAGACCAGGGGAACAGGACTGAGAACCCAGAAGTAAATCCATCCACCTGTGGACAGCTGTTCTTTGACAATGGGCCAAAAGCCATTAAATGGGGAATAGATAGTTTCTTTAACAAACAGCACTGGCAAAACTGGACATCCATTTGCAGAAAAATGAAACAGGATCCATCTCTGTTACCAGGTACAAAAACTAACTCAAGACGGATCAAAGACTATATATATATATATATATATACCCTAAAACTATAAAGATCATCAAAGGAAACAAAGGAGCCAACTTGGGGCCCTTATACATGGCATAAATACACAAACAGAAATAACTGAAAATGCACCAACAACACAAGACAAAACTACACGACTGGGACCACCAGAAAAATCAAACATTTATGTGCATCAAAAGTCTTTTCAAACAGATGAAACAAGAACCTACAGACTGGGTGAAAAATTTTGGCAGTAACATCAGATAAGGGACTAATCTCTAAAATTTGCAGACAACTTCACACCTCAACAACAAAGAGACAAACATTCCAATTAAAAAAGGGCAGAAGATATGAACAGACAATTCACCAAAGACGACATTCAGGGGGCTAACAAGCTCGTGAAGAAATGCTCGTGATTGTCAGGCATTTACTGCTGTTGTCAGCCACTGTCAAGTCAGTGTCAACTCACAGTGACCTGATACACAACAGAACCAAACAGTGCCCAGCCCTGCGCCAGCCTCACAATCCTTGCTACGCCTGAGCTCATCATTGCAGCCACTGTGTCGACCCATCTCGTGGAGGGTCTTCCCCTTTTGCGTTCCTCTCCACCTCACCCAGCATGATACTCTTCCCCAGGGAATGGTCCCTCTGGCAACGGGACCACAGTACGAGAGATGAAGTCTGGCCATTCCTGCTTAGGCGCATTCGGGCTGAAGCTCCTCTGAGATAGATCTGTTCCTTCTTCCAGCAGTCCATGTTACTTTCAATACTCTCCGCCAACCCCACAGCTCAAATGCATCAAGTCTTTTGTGGTCTTTTTAAAGGCATTATCCAGTTCTCACATACACATGAGGCTACTGAAAATGCCATGGCTTTGGGCAGGCACAGCTTAGTCTTCAAACTGACAGCTTTCCTCTTTAACACTTTAAAGAGGTCTGTTGCAGCCTATTTGCCCAATGCAATAGGGCATTTCATTTCATGACTGCTGCCTCCATGGGTGTTGACTGTGGATCTGAGTAAAATGAAATCCCTGACAACTTCCATCTTTTCTCCATTATCATGATGGTGCTTCTTGGCCCAATTATGAGGATTTTCGTTTTATGTTGAGATGTAATCCATACCGAAGGCTGTGGTCTTTCTTCATCAGTAAGTAATTCAAATCTTCTTTGCTTTCAGCAGCAAGGTTGTGTCACCTGCATATTGCAGGTTGTTAATGAGTCTTCTCCACTCCTGATGTCACGTTCTTCTTCATATAGTCCAATTTCTTGGATTATTTGCTCAGCAAACAGATTAAGTAAGTGTGGTAAAAGGATACACCCCTGATGCACACATTTCCCGGTTTTAAATCATGCAGAATCCCCTTGTTCTGTTAGAACAACTGCCTCTTGTTCTACATACAGGTACCTCATGAGTACAATTAAGTGTTCCGGTATTACCTTTCTTTGCAATGTTAACCACAATGTATTATGATCCCCCAGTCAAATGCTTTTGCATAGTCAACAAAACACAGGTAAACACCTTTCTGGTGTTCTCTGCTTTTAGCCAAGATCCATCTGACATCTGCAATGATATCCCTCGTTCCACATCTTCTTCCGACTCCAGCTTGAATTTCTGGCAGTTCCCTGTCGATGTACTGCTGCAACCATTTCAATCATTTACAGCAAAATTTTACTTGCATGTGACATTAATGATATTGTTCAATAATTTCCACATTCTGTTTGTTCACCTTTGTTTGGAATGGGCACAGATTTGGATCTCTTCCACTTGGTCGGCCCAACAGCTGTCTTCCAAATTTCTTGTCATATACGAATGAGTGCTTCTAGTGTTGCATCTGTTTGTTGAAACATCTCAGTCGGTATTCTGTCGATTCCTTGAGCCTTGTTTTTTTTTTTTTTTGCCAATTCCCTCAGTGCAATTTGGACTTGTTCCTTTAATACCACTGGTTCTTGATCACACTGCTACCTCCTGAAATGGCTGAACATCAACCAATTCTTTTTGATATTGTGGTTGTTATGTGCCGTCGAGTCGGACCCGACTCATAGAGACCCCTCCTTGGGCTTCTGAGGCGCTAGTACTATGGAAGTAGACTGCCCAACCTTCCTTCCAAGGAGTGGCTGGTGTGTTTGAACCATCAGCCTTCTGGTTAGCAGTCAAGTGCCTTAGGCACTATGCTACCAGAGCTCCCCTTTCTGATATAGTGACTATGTATTCCTTCCATCTTCTTTTGATGCTTCCTCTATTGTTCAATATCTTGCCCATAGAATCCTTCAGTATTGCAACTCAAGGCTTGAATTTTTTCTCCAGTTCTTTCAGCTTGAGAAAATGCCAAGCATGTCCTTCCCTTTTCGTTTTCTAACTCCAGGTCACTGCACATTTCATTTTAATACTTTACTCTGTCTTCTCGAGCTGCCCTTTAAGAAATCTTCTGTTCCTATCTTTTAGCTCATCATTTCTTCCATCCGCTTCAGCTATCCTGTGTTCAAGAGCAGGTTTCAGAGTGTCTTCTCACACCCATTTTGGTCTTGTCTTCCTTTCCTGTCTCTTTAACGACCTTTTGCTTTCCTCGTGGCTTACGTCCTTGAGGTCATCCCACGACTCCTCTGGTCTCTGCTATAACAGATGAGTGGTGGCACTGGCCACAAGACAGCTGCAAATCAAAGCAAGGAGATACCACTTCACCCCAGTATTAACAGCAAAGTTCACAAAACCAGAAAACAACAAATGCTAGCAATGGTGCAAAGAGACTAGAATCCTCATACACTGCTGGTGGGACTGTAAAATGGCACAACCACTCTGGAAAATAGTAATGGCGTTTCCTTAAAAAGTTGGAAATATAAGTGCCACGTGAGCCAGCAGTCTCACTGCTAGGTATATATCTTAGAACAAGAGCTGTGGCATGAACAGATAGAAGCACACCCATGTTCATCACAGCACTGTTCACAATAGCAAAAAGATGGAAACAACCTAAGTGCTCATCAACAGATGAATGTATAAATAAGTTATGGTACATACACACAATGGAATACTATGCAATGTTAAAAAATAATGATGAATCTATGAAACACCTAAATAACATGGATGAACCTAGAGGACATTATGCTGAGTGAAATTAGACAATGACAAAACGACAAAAATTGTATGAGACTACTACTGTAAAGAGTGAGGAAAAGGTTTATACACAGAAAGAATCATTATTCGAAGGTTACTAAGAGTGGGAGGAGAAGGGAGAATAATTCACTAACTGAAGGGCAGGTACATAGCCTCCTGGGTGAAGGCAATACACAGGAAGAGGGAGGTCAGCACAGAACGATTAAGACAGAAGGTCCTGGGAGCAGCACAAGCGTTAAAGGCCACAAGGTGAGTCTGTACACACACAACCCTGCAACCGCAGTAACAACAACAATAACTCATGGATACATGAACAGACAGTCACACTGAACAGGGACAGGAAGGGAATGGGACTACAGCCATGAATATATTAAGTTTGACAGAGGGTATTTCCTGCTTCGTATTAAAGGTGCTGCTAATACACCCATGAATACAGCAGAACACACAAGGGGCAAAACTTAGCCGTAACAGAATACCTGAGGGAATGAGTCAGTGGGCATGGGGGCTCAGAGTAACAGCCTCAGGAGATGCTCAGTTCAACTAGTCTAACAGTCCACACAGACAACGCTACTTTGGTGAGTAGTGACCAAGGTCTTAAAAATTTGTGAGTGGCCATCTAGGGGACAACAACTGGTCTCTCCCTGTCTGTGGCAAAGAAGAGTGAAGAAAATCAATGGTGTCAAGGCAACATTCCGGTTTGTAAACTGCTTGCCTTGCAAGTTACATAGTAGCTCTCTTGAGGAACTTGCTGTTAAGTAATCTTAGCATGACCTGATACTCTCCATTCTTGAGGTAAACTGTCTCGGCTGAAGCCAAGGCACCCTGAAGGCTCATGGCCACAAGCTACTCTCCAGCACACCTGTGTGTGCCCCTCTCCACAAGCTGAGCTACATGCTTCCCAAGAGTCAACTCCCACTGTCCTCAAAATAGTTCCTAGCTGTTGTAAATGCCACTGTCCTTGCATGCTTTAACTAAATGCAATGAAGGGAAAATGATAAATTTCAAAAGTGAAATTATTTCTTGGAAACTTAAGATAAATGTTTTGTAAAAACTAATAAAAAAAATCTGCTGTCAAATTAGAGTAGGGCAGCTGTAAGAGATCTGGGAAAAAGATGGCAAATCTAAGATCTTAGAAGTCAGACTGCTTTTCAAGTGTCTTTACATTTTTCTCTGTCATAAGCGGACATTACAGATCATGCACAATGACTATGGTTTACGCAACGAAGATGCCATAAACTCCATCCACTGACCCCATCCACAGAAGGCCCGACTCCTCTGTGGGAAATAAATGCACACTTCTACTCTGTACATTAAAATGTGTGCCATGTGCTGCCGTAATTTTCCTGTGGAAACAACTGTGGCCCCAGTCTGGCTATCATGCTAGTTTTTTTTAAACTCTGTGTTGTGATTTGGGTGAAAGTTTACAGAGTAGTGGTTTGCACTCAACAACTCAGACACATTTTGATGTGTGACACTGGCTGCAACCCCCACAAAGTAACAACAGGCCTCTTGCCACTTTCTCCTGTGCTTACCATCTCCATGCATCCTTTGCTATCCTTTCCTGCCTCTGAGCTTTACCGCTGGGCACAGGCTGCCTGCCTTTCGGATTCCTGTTAGCAGCCTGTTCTAACCACACAGGGGGATGACAGGTGAGGAGAATCAGATTATCCAAATCTCTCTTGGGGCGACTTTTAAATGGCTTTGTTAACATCAAGGAGCTTTGGTGGTCGCATTGTGGCTACAACAGTGGGCTGCTAGCCTAAAGGCCAGCAGTTTGAAATGACCAGCCACCCCATGGAAGAAAACGAGGCAGTCTGCTTCCAAAAAGATGCGCAGCCTTGGAAACTGCAGAGGGCAGTTCTACCCTGCCCTGTGGGGTCGCTATGCGTCGGAATCGACTCGATGGCATTGCGTCTTGTTAAGATCCAGGAAGGACAGCCTTTCTTCCTTCCCCCATTAACTCCATACAAACGACAGCAGGAATATTGGAAAGAAAATACTACAGAAGAAAATAATTAGAGCCTAGCATTTTGGCACGTTTCTGCTCCTAGTCTTATTACCTCCTCATCTCTACGAGACTGGGGCTGGATTTCAGCCGCCGAACTTCAGAACATAATTTAGACTTTGCCTGCCAACTATCTCCTCCAATTAAAATTGGGTTAGCGTTCAAGCAGAGCTGGGGGTGGTTTCAAGGTATTCTTAAAATTGCAGATGGCACATTCTTTCTTCCTTGAAAAATGCTACTTTGAGAAAAGATGTCCTAAAAACTTCACTTATGGTTCATTTACATGTACTGATGGGTCTTTAAATGTGGGGTGGACTTTTTGTAAAAAAGGCAAGTATGATTCCACTTGATGTCTGGTTAAACATATTTGCCTCAGCTTTACTTATACTAAGAAAGCCTGTTTGTTAGAAGGCAAGTTGAGAGGGCCAGCATTGCTCCTACAAAAATGCCCCTTACAAGCCAAGGTATCATCAGGCACAGGAGGAGCCAATTACCCAGTTACTTACCAGTCAACTCGCTTCTCGGAAGAGTCACTGATCCCTGACAGGTGGTGGTTGCTTCTACCAGACCAGTGCTGTTCTGGAAAAGCTTTTTAAGTCCTTTGGACCTAAGAACGCATCTCAGGGTGGGGACAGGCACCTGCCTCTCTTCCCCACCCCTGGAATGATGAGGAGAGTCACACAACCTTGGATTCTTTGGATTAAAAGAGCCCCTAAGGGTTGTGGAGCCTAATTTCATACCTGAACCTTCTTTACACCTTGACCGTGGTGCCAGCCTGTGCCTACTGCATGTCCCAGAAACCTGTTCATTTCCTACAGAGCCCTCCACACAACCTGTCATTCATTTGTCTTGCCTGTTTATTATCTATCTATCTCTGTCTCTCGAATGTAAACCCTGTGAGGGCAGGCACCCACCTGTCGTGCTCACTGTTTTGTTTTCTGGTACCCAGCACGCTGGTCAATGGATGGTTACCTCTACTAATACTGACCATGTCGCCTCTTGAAGATTCTGTGTTTGGACATGTCTGACCTTTAGGATGTTATGTGATGCTTGAGGTACAATCAAACACTTTGTATTTCTAACATCAACCTCATTTCAATCCTCATTCCATTCTTAGACCCAGAGAGAAAAACTTCTCATCTTTCTACATGATTATTGCCTATAAGTATTTGAGAAGTTTCAGATTCTTCCTGTATCTTCTCGCTGGAACTTGGCAGCTCACGGCGGCAGCACCAGCTTTCAAGGCTGCTGTGTCTTTAGAGAGGAGAACATCAGAGCCTGAACCTCGTGTTCTACCACAAATGGAATGGAACTGGCCCCACCAGCCTCCTAAGCGGTAAGGCTACATCATAAAGACAACTTTGGTGGGTAGAGCTGTTGCTGTTGCCGAGTGCCCGAGTCAGTTTCGACTCACAGTGACCCTATTAGGACAGAGGGGAGCTGCCCCACAGGGTGTCCTGGACTGAAATCCTAATGGCAGCAGGTCACAGCTCTTTTCTCCGAGAGAGCGGATGGGGGATTCAAACCACTGACCTTCCACTTAGCAGCCGTGTGATTAACCACTGTGCTGCCAGGGTCCCTTTGTGGGTGGAGGGGGGGTGTTTATAATAATGGTCAGATCAAGCTGACCATCATGGGTCTGTGGAACAAAGAGAAAATGCTGCATGTGGGCAATGTCCTAGACAGACCATAACAAGGAACAGGAGCTGAACTCTAGGGTTGAACTTGTGGCAAATGTACCCTTAACGAGAGGGGCACACATCCCTCACTGATGAAGCGTCCTCTGGACCCAGAATGCTTTTCCAGCACAGCAGTGGCAGCGAGAGCTATGACAGCAGCTGGTGGGGAAGAGTCAGTCCATCAGTGTGTTATGTGGAGAATCAACCTTCCCCAAGCATCTAACATAACATTTTAGCTTTGAGTCTTCACGTTGCTATCCAATTTGGAGGATGTCAGCCTGTGGGGTAAAAAGTTATTAAAATGGGAATAAGCAGAAGTGACAGAATTCGCACTTCTTTTCTTGAGAAAATGCAGCAAAAGCAGCAGAAACGAAACTTTTACCTTCTAGGATGTGCATCCTCACAAGTTCAGAACGATCCGGGCGGCTCCGAATCTTGTGCTTCAAAAAGTTCTCGGTCTTAAAAAAGAAGAAAATGTCTCGTCATGAATTCCTTAGGATTTATTGTAATTTGAAAAATTTTCTCCGGGTTCTCTATTTAAGTAAACTGTGTCCCCTTTTTGTCATGACTCAGATATCAGTGCTTAGAGAAACTAGTGTCTGACACGTGATCGAAACAGCAGCACCTGAACTGTATGTTGGTGCAGAGTCAGGACTCTGCGGACATATTTTAAAACGTGGCAAAGTCATGGGATGATTTTAAAGATGATTTCTGAAAAGAGGTAGGATTTGGATGATCTGAGTATCTAAAATCATTAAAACATACACTTTAGGTCAAGTCAAAACCCACTCAGATGATCAAGAATTTCCTAAAAATCCTAACATATTTTCTTTGATGAGCTCCCATTCTTGATCATGTTTTTCAAATCAGAACTATACTCAGCTCTAACCATAGGGCTTTGACATGGATTTTACATTTTACGAGACTCTAACAGATCATTACTAGATTGCAGGGGAAATTCTGCATGCCACTGTAAGGAATTTCTGAGACATGCTTATTTCCGTACTGCATAATGTAAGTTTTCCCTCAAACAAATAGACAAAACAGGAAGAACGAGGATGTGTAATGGCCCTTTTAAAGGAATACAGTAAGCACAATCCGGTGTGTAGCTACAGTGGACCTACAGTGCAAAGAATAAAGCACAGTCCAGTGCAGCAACCATCTTTCGTGTACCCCACTCTGTGGCGTACAGGTAACCAAAGCCCAGCGGGGCAGCCACTTCAGGATGTGTAGGCAGGACATCACTTGGAAAGTCCCTCTCCAGGGTGACAAATGGCAGAATGATCCCCTTACTACAGCCCTGAAGTGCTAGCAAGAAGGTAGCAATGTGTGGTTTGTCCTTTATGTACAAAAACTAGTTCCTGGCTTTCAAGATGAGAATTTGAATGTCATGCACTTCTACAAAATTCCAAGACAGAACTGCCCAGAACGTATTACTCTACACACCATGCATCCTGAGAATACACTCTTTTTGCTCTACTGGTATATTTGGGGACATGGCTGCTTTCTGGACACAGGGACTTCAGAGAGAAGGAGGGAAGCAAGGAGGAGAGTATTTTAAATGGAAATTTCTTACCCTGGCTCGTTCCAAGCTTTTTATCTGTTCGTGGAACACCGCTGGGCTCTTCAAAGCTGTGAGAGCAAAGAAAAATCATTTCCACAGTATAAAGAGGGGAGTTAATACTTCAGTCAAATATTACAGTGTATCCTGTTGATGTTTCCTTTGAATTTTACTAGTCCACACCTACAAGTCCATTTATTTACTAGTTCCTTGAGCAGCTCTGGGGGTGCCGTTAAAGCATTGGGCTGCTAACCAGAAGGTCAGCGGTTTAAATCTACCAGTTCTACCACGGGAGAAAGATGAGGCAGTCTGCTTCCAAAAAGATGTCCAGCCTTGGGAATACCATGGGGCAGTTCTACTCTGTCATACAGGGTCACGATGAGCCAGAATCAACTAGATGGCAGTGGGTTTGGCTTGGTTTTATGGGAATCTGCAAAATTTGGAACCTTAAATGTTAACAGAATTAAAATGATATCCCAAATAAAACAAGTAAAAGCTAAAACCAGAACTGCATACATAATGACATTGCAAGCACAAGGTCAGACTAGCTCCAACCCAAGTTTTCGTCACCGAGGGTACTGTTTGCTGATTTCTTGACAGATCTTTGCTCTTAATGACCGTAAAAGCTACTGGAAAAGGTTCACATGTCATCAGCAGTGACCTAACCTTGAACGTGAAGAAATACCGCACCACATATCCAATAGATCTGAGCTTCCATTCACTGAGAACTCACAACATGCTGAGCTCTGTGCTT